TTTAGGAGTTTAGGGTGTATAGGGTGTGGGATTGAAGGTGGAGGTGCACGGCGATGCTCCTAATCCCCAAACTACGGTACCAGCATGCCTCCAACATACAAGTTGAATACGGAAGCCTACATAGCAAGATCCGTATTGGAGGTATCTTGCCCCTGGGAAAGGGACTCCCAGCTATCTGGGGCATCTACCTGATCCCCCGAGAAACTCCCTATACAGATCCTTTGCGATTCCTTTAATTGCCAAGAACAGAACCCGCAAAGATGTAAACAACCTAGACGGTATACACTCAGAAGAGTGATGGGCATAGACGGTTTGTTAAGAGGCACTATAGGGAACGCATGTAACGGGCATGTCCTGCTTTGGTTGCCCTGAGGTCCCTGTGCTCAGATAGTATTTACCCTTGCCCTACTGCAGTACCTAAGTAGAGCCTGCTTTAAGGCGAAAGCATATGCTATCGGGGTACATGGACCCTTACACCCTAAACCGTTAAAGGAAACCCTTAAGGGGACCCTCAAACCAACCCTCAAAGGACCCTATTTGGGTAAATGGACCGCCCTCTGGGGTTTCAAGTTTAGGGATTCGGGGCTTTAGGCTTTAGGGTTTAGGGTTTAGGCTTTATGGCATTTAGGAAACCCTTAGGGTTCAAGTACCCAAGAATCAAGACACCCCGGAATAGTGACCTGCCTAACTAATGTAAGCCCAAGTACCAAGTTTTGGGTCCTTTCGACCCCTAGGGAAGTTTGCAAAATTGAGATATCGAACTAGTCGCAATCGAACCGTAAGTACAAAAGCTGGACAAAGATCTGCGGTCGTCGAAAGTGCATTCCCCAAAAACTCTAGGTACTGCTTATGGGGAATACTTCCCCACATCATAAAAGTAATTCCAAATATCCGAATATGTAAAAACCCACATTCTCCGAAATAGGTACTTACTATAGGAACCCTTCGAGGAACCCTAAACCCTTAATGGAACCCCTAAAGAACCTACATTCTACCCTAAACAGGTACTTTAGACCCTTTGGCACGCTCGAGGTGCTTGCCGATCGAAGCGCTCACCAAGACCGAAGTCGCCACAGTGCAGATCAGAGCTCTGCGCGTAACATTGCGGGCCTGCATGATGCAACACGTGAGGAGCAGGGGGGTTAAGGTTTAGGGACTTAGGGGTTAGGGCTTTAGGGTTTTAGGGTTTGAGGGTTTGAGGGTTTAGGGATTTAGGGCTTCAGGGTTTGGGGTACGGTTGAGCGCTACAGTCGACCCTTCGGCTTGGTCAAGTGGCATCTTGAAGCGGTTGAGGCTCCTCCAGCCCTTGCCGAAACTGTGACTGTAGATGACCCAGAGGGTTCTAAGTACCTGCATACCCGCAGACAGTAGGCTCCCTAAAACAGAAACAAAAAAGAAGCGATCATTCTAGAACCCTTGAAGGAACCCCATAAAAGAACCCCGGAACGCCTTACAGGAACCCTTCAGGCACGGATCCTGTGGGAGATTTGCTCTGGCATTGCCTTGCTTCGGCGGCTTCGCCACAGCATCCGAGAGAAAAAACACCTCGTGTGCAAAGAAGGAAACCATCTAAGATGCTGTTCCGGGGGCGTTCATCAAGATGTCTGAGGGTGGTGTTTTAGGGTTTAGGGTTTAGGGGTCTTGGTGGTGTTGGCGGTCTTGGCAATGACGGTGGCGGGGACGTCGGTCAAAGGGGTCCGGACTGACGTAAGAAGCTTTACACCGGATGAGGAGTACAGTAAAAGCCAGAAAGTTGGAATATGATTATCGTAGCCCCTTTAAGGTAAATTATAGGGGATCCTACCATGAAACCATATTCCAACTTTCTGGAGTTCCCTTTACTTCGAAAGCCTACACCCTAAACCCTGATCAAGTCAGCTTAGGAAACCTTTGAAAACCTAATGATGGCCCTGCTGCTGCTACTACTACTACTACTACTACTACTACTACTACTACTCCTCCTACCATCACCAGCCACCACCTGAGCTCACCTGGTCCTGCCAGCGTCTGGAGGTGATGTTGCAGCGCCCGGCCTTCAAGCACAAGGAGAGCAAGGGCTTAGGGTTTATGTTTGCAGGCCCCGTTGAGTGTAGCATGAAAACGATAATACAGGGGCCTTAATAATTAGGGTTTTGGCGCCCAATATACTATAACAATTTTGATAAGGAAACCCCGCAACAGCATAGGCAAAAATTTAAGCCCCTACATTAGATCATAATTTCGGGCCTTTGAGTCTCGGGTTTGAGGTTCAAGGTCCTAGAATGTCGGGTTGAAGGTTGAGGGTCTGGGAGGTTCGGTCTTAATATAAGGGCCTTAATGATTAGAATAAGGTTCTGGAGCCCCTTATGCCTTATACTATAATAATGAACCCCCAAAGCAGTGTAGGTAATTATTCAGGCCTCTATACAATAGGGTGAGTTTTGGTTCAGCGTTTTGTTGTAGGGCTTATAGGGTTTATAGGGTAACGAAGTGTCATTGTAAGTACATAGAATTCCAGGTCAAAGATTTTGCGCTCAGGGATGTGTCACTGGCAGATAGCACCATGCTGTTTTCTGCTGACTTCTCACTCGCGGCTATCTCGGCCAATCGCGTCCACCACCAAAGCTGGTTGCCCTAAACTAATCGGATCAATCCTTGATTCACCGCTCCTATGACCCTAAACCGTAAACATGTAGGATTTAGGGTGTAGACTTTACGACGTTACGGTTTTAGATTTCAATTTCAAGAGTATCCGAGTTTAGAGCATCCGCATGGCTGCTACGTGAACGGACGGAGCTACGTGCAAATCACACGCCGCAATAATCAATGAAAGTTAAAATGCTGCATTGCGGGCCGTGGCCAGTCACTGTAGCATACATGGCTATGTAGGAGAAGCAAGAACGACTGATTTCTGTGGGATTTCTCGGGTTCCGCCTTTCAGTTCCTAGCATTGTGTTCCTGGCCGGCGAAAGCAGATGAGCTGAACCTGTGGGGAAGCTCTATGCCCCCAAAACGCGCATGTTGCGCCGCGGCCAAATGCCTGTGCGCCTTGGGCCCTCACTCACTGTGCTCCGTATGTTCTGGTGTCAAACCCCTTCCTGACGTGGCGACCACGGTTTGTGCGGCCGTGGTACTTGTGGTGAAACCACCTCGGCTATTGTTCAGGAACTTCATTCGATTTGCCATAACCATATTCTTTACTGAAGGTCCCATTATGGTAACTTGAATCAAAATCCTTATCAAAACCCAGCAACCTCGGGATGCGAGGAACGCGCTTGTGGTAGTAGCTGCCATCTCCCGCATTGTCGGTCGGCTCGCTCATGCCGTTGTCGCACTGGACGGAGACCTGAGGCACGAAATGGAACCTGTAAGAGCTTGAGGTTTAATAGTTTAGGGTTTAGGGATTATCATAACAGGAGTTCATAGCATAAGCCCTAAACCCTAAACTGCAAGGATATATAGGGCTCCTACTTGTCAGTCCCAAGGTACTGCAAAGCTCTTCTGACTGGTGCTTCCCGCCACATCAGTTGCAGTGCACGTCACTTCCTAGGTGGGCCCATTGTTTACGGCTTAGGGTTCAGGGTTTAGGAGTCAGTGAATCAGTTTCGTAAAGCAGAATCCTCTTCGGCCCAACAATGAAGATGCAAAATGCCCTAAAGGCCTACCTAGCTGCTGTCTCGCCGACAGCGAACAGGGACCCGGATGAAGGACTGCAAGAAGTTGAAACACCTGTTTGGGGTTTAGTGTTTATAGGGTCTAGAGGCTTAGGGGTTTACGGGTCTGCAGGCTTAGGGGTCTGAGGGATCAGGTTTTAGGGGCTGCAAGACGTTGAAACACCTGGGCAGTTGTCATCCGCTGTAGGCGCGAACGTGACGGCAGTCGGGCTGCAGGACTGCACCTGGGATCTTGCTAAATGAGACGGCTGACGAAATAAACCCTACATTACCGTAATGACCCTAAGACTAAGGGCATTATGGCATTCACCCCCTTCATAGTAAAAACACATTGGCGCGGATCCTCCCGAAATCACTCCTGCCTTTTAAAACCTAATTTGCATAGGGGGGTCCGGAGCAAGAGCAGGACCGAGAGAGCAAGAGCTGGAGTAATAGCACAAGCAAGAGTAAGAGCAAAAGCAGGAGGAAGACCAGGTGCAACAGCAAGAGCAAGCGCAGGAGCGAAAGAAAGAGACGCAGCAGGAGCAGGAGCAAGAGCCCTCAAAAGTGGCAGTAGAGATGAATACAGGATTACGCCATAATGGGGATCTAAAGTAAACAGCAGGGTTGTCCTCGCTACGGTAAATGAAACTTAGATCCTTTCGGGGCCTAAATAATTACCAATTCTATTTTGGGGGTTCCTTATGCGCCCCAAAACCCTATTCTAACTACTAAGGCCCCACATATTATAGAACTCTTATAGTACCCTTATCGACCCCTTTAAAGGAACCCTATTCCAGTTATTAAGGCCCCTATAGCACTTGACTTTAAACCCTCCTTAAAAAGGGCCGAAGTCTATGGTAGCTGAAACAGAACCCTTAAGGAACCCCTTAAAGGGACCCTATTTTCAACCCCTACAGAAACCTATAAACGGGGCCCCTATCATACAACTCTATGGTACCCTTTAAAAGAGCTCCTTTCCTTTGCATGGACCCTTATACTCTAAACTCTTAACGAACCCTTACAGAAACCATACAAGACCCCCGTAAAGGAACCCTTCTAAAAACCCCAAACCCATTCCTTTGCAAGAACCCAGGCACGTCGATGTTGGGAAGCGTGCCGATACTTGGATCCTCGAGGTCATTGACCTGGACCTGGGCTCTTTTCGAAGGTTTTGGGCTTAGGGTTTAGGGTTTAGAGTCCAGGGTTTAGGGTCAGGGTTTGGGGTTTAGAACCCAAGGTTTAGAGTTACGGTTTGAGAATAGCTTGAACAGAAAAGTCCTGCTCACATGGCTGCTTACATACATGGATACCTACATATAGTCCTTGCATGCATGCATGAAACAGATGCTACACTGCTACAGCCACTGGTACATTGGAAATGATTGTCGAGAACGGCCGAGGAACGACGAAAGATTCCGACGAGGCCTTGTTGCCAGAAGCATCCGTGGCGTTGCATGTCACTGTGGTGGTACCGACCGAGAACGTGGTGCCGGATTCTTGCGAACAAACTACCTGAACTCCTGGACAGTTGTCGGCTGCATTGGCCACATAATCCACAGCGGCTCCGCACTGTCCTGGGTCGTTTGTCACTGTCACATCATCCGGGACCGGATCGAAGACTGGATTCTCGTGGTCCCTCACTGTAACCCAGAAGCCTGTCCCCGATTGAGCCAGTCCAGCAACATCGGTCGCCGTGCAGTCAACTCTGTTGTCACCGACTGGGACCAAAGAGCCATTCGCTGGCACGCAGGACAATGTGACATCGCCTGGACAGTTGTCGATTGCGGATACGTCGTAAACCACAATGCCTTCGCAAAGTCCAGGGGATGTGGCTGTTTCCCTCATAACATCGCCCAGCGTGATGTTGGGAGCCCAGAGGTCACGGACGTTAACGTCAAATTCTGCCGAGGCAGTGCTCCCACCAGCATCGGTGGCGGTGCACGTCACCGTGGTGGTACCGACCGAAAACGTTGAGCCCGATTCTGGCGAACAGGATACCTGCACTCCTGGACAGTCGTCTGTTGCGGTGGGCACAGTGAAATTCACAACGGCTCCGCACTGTCCTGGTCTGTGCTCACGGACACGTCATTCGGCACCACATCGAAGACTGGAGGCACCGGATTCAGGTCCTGCACCCAAACACGAAGGGATTCTGATGCAGTGTTACCAGCAACATCGGTCGCCGTGCAGGTAACTGTGGTGTCACCGATAGGGAACGAAGAGCCAGATGGTGGCACGCAGGACCATGTGACATCGCCTGGACAGTTGTCGCGTACCTCGATTACATCATAAGTCCGAACGGCTGTGCATTCTCCAGGGGCTGGCCGATCTCCGACTCCAACATCGCCTAGGATGATCTCAGGAGGCTCTGTGTCAGCACTGGGATCCGCAGGGCACGTAGCAACTCCTCCCTTTACAAGCGCTTTTGCTTGCAAGAGCGCCTGGTCGTCGGAAGTGCAGCTTGCATTCTCGAGGTGCTTCCCGGTCGAAGCACCCACCACAAAGGTAGGTGAGGGTTGCCACACAGCACGTCAGCGCTGTGCGCGTAAAGTTGCGGCCCTGCATGATGCACACGTGGGGAGGGAGAGGGGCGGTCAGGCACAGTCGAGCGCTAGAGTCGAGCCTTCGGCTTGGTCAAGTGGCATCTGGATGCATGCTGATTGACTTTTCAGCCTGTGACTGTAGATGCATGAAGACAACCCAGACGGTCCTAAGTACCCGCATACGAAGAGAAAGTAGTTCCCAACAACAGGAACAACTCTGACTTGTAAGTATACCCCAAAAGGAACCACGGATCCAGTGTAAGATGTGCCCTGCCACGCCTTGGTGGCTTCGTCGGCATGCACGGCATCCGAAAAAAACCTCGTCTGCAAACGAAAAGCATTTCTTACTAGATTGCTCCGCGGGGGTTCATCAAGATGTCTGGTGGTGGTGGTGGTGGTGGTGGTGGTGGTGGTGGTGGTGGTGGTGGTGGTGGTGGTGGTGGTGGTGGTGGTGGTGGTGGTGCTGCTGCTGCTGCTGCTGCTGCTGCTGCTGCTGCTGCTGCTGGCGGTGGTGGTCTCGGTGGTCTTGGTGGTCCAGGTGGTCTTCGTGGTGATCTCGGCAATGCTCTTGGTGGTCTTGGTGGGGGTGACGGTATGGTCGGTGGATGCTGGCTTGTTTTGATCCTGCGCTGCGACTCCTGTGGTTCCCCTGGCTCTTCGTATTCGTCGTCCCTCTAGTCTAATCCCCCACGCACCCGCTTAGGCTTAAGGTCGCATCCTGCCACTGACACTTGTGCCCCTCTTCGTTCCTAACGCTCTCTCACCAAGAGGGTCCAGATATACTACCATTATGGAGTAAGGGCCAGAACGCGGATGGCCTTTTGGGACCATGTAGTGTATATGGACCCTCTGTGTCATATATTTATTCCTCACTAAGCGGCATTCAGGGGCTAGTCAGGAGGGGGTCTAGGTAATGATCTATACGTCCTCATATCGCACTGCATAAGGCATATGTAATATGTAGGACCCACATGCACCCGATAACCCCAAACCCTCAGAAGCCAAAAGCTCTGAACAGATTGCCGAGCCTGAAACAACGGACCCTGAAACTAATTAATCCTAAGCCTTCAAAACGCTAAACTCCTAGGATATGGCCGGTCTCCAAACAATTTTCACAAGTTTTAGGAATTGGGGGTGTGGGTGTTCAAGGTTGGTGTATGGCTTTGCGGATTACCGGGCTTGGGCTTGGGTGTTTAGAGCTTAGGAATGTGGGGCTCTGGGCGACTGTGCTTTGGGACTTTGGGGTTAGGCTTAGGGGTCTAGGTTTAGGGTTAGAACTTCAGCTGGGCTCAGGGCTTAGAGTCTATAGGCTCTTAGGAAGCTGTAGGGTTTAAAGGGATATGTAGTACCGCCCCGTGATGAAGTCGCTCCTGCCTGATGCAACTTCGAGGACTCCGCACCAGAGAGGTCCGTCCAGACGGACCTTCCGCTTCTAATGCGCCAGCATTGCAGGCTTTGGGTGTTATTATAAGTTGTTGGGGTTGCAATGAAAGAACCATGAAAGTGATACAGCCGCAGGCCGATCCTCAACCAATGGAAACCGAGGAGCTTGCCACATCGAAAGCTCGAGAAGAGCCTGCACCCATTCTTTTGTGCCGGCTTTTGCAACGGCTCGAGTTGAGATGCTGAAATGTCCGCTGTACATGCACGTTGGCGGAAAGACATTCAGCATAAAGACCTAATGATAAATGGCCGAAACAAATGCCTTTTGGCATTGTAGCCTACTGAGAGCTGGCCGTGAAGGATGCCTTGACATTCAGCATAAAAGCCCAATGAGAAGTGGCCGCGAAGCATGCCGTTTGGCATAACAGCTTTATGCTGAAAGCTGGCCGTGGGGGATACAGGGCATTCTATACTTCAGCTAGGCGGTGAAGTTGGAGGGTGGGGAGCTTTCGCCGGCATCGTTGTTGCCCCAGCACACCGGGACTCCACTGAGAGTGAGAGCGCATGCATGGCCAAAGTTGAACAAGCTTACTGACAGCTCGGCGTAAGGTTCATTGTTGGGCGGCAAGCCAAGAGCGGAAGCTTGCTCACCGAAGCACTGGATGCGGCTGTCTGCTGACCTAATGCCGCAGACTTTCTTGGAACCCGCGTCGACGTGCGTGAATGCAACATCTGCAGGTGGTGGTGCCCTCACATCAGAGATCTGACCATCACCATCTTGAGCACCCCAACATGTGATTATTCCGTCAGCTTGGCGTATGCCGCAGGAAGCACTCCTAAAACTGGAGATCGCCGAAAGTGCCTCATCGGGTGGCGATTGACCACTCAAACCTCCCCAGCACTGCGGCTTCCCGTCTGCTGTTCGGAGCCCACAGCTGAAGTCGGTTCCTGTCGACACTGCGCTGAAAGAGATATCAGGAGCATCGAGCTGACCCGAACTATTGTAAAGCCCCCAGCAAACGGCTTTTTGCTGAGCATTCAGAGCACAAGCGTGGAATCGGCTGACCTGGATGCTGGAAAGCGGATCTGTAGGTGCTGCGACATTTGGAGGCATAGAGCCGCCCCAACACACAGCCATGCTGCTCGATTCGACGATCCCGCAGCAATACCAACCGCAGGACAGCTCACGCAATGCGACCGTTGGCACTGTTCCGATGTTTATAGCATCTCCCCAGCACACGGGGAAGTTGTCCTGCTTCCTCAAGGCGCATGTGGAGGCAGGACCTACGGAAATTCGCGCGGTGCTGGTGGTCATGACCGGAGTCGTCGATGTCAAGGCATTGCTGGTGGTCATGGCCGGGGTGGTCGATGTCAGGGCCCCGTACTTGTGCCAGATGTGTCCCTTGTGATGGATGCCTGGCTTCTTCACTCCCCGGCCCAAAAAAAGGTTCAACTTTGTTCTATGAGATAAACCAAGTGTATACAGCCTAAAAATGTAAATGTTCTTCTATTGCCTATCTAAAATGCGGTGCCACGGCTGGCTCCAGTGCCTTCGAACTCGGCGGTACGGCCCTCGCAACTCTGACTCGCTCGCCTTTGCATCCTTTCCGGAGATGTTCGATCCATGCAAACCCAAGCAAGACCCAAAACCTTAAACTCCCAACCCAAACACAAAACAAGATGCCATACCCCAAACCCCAAACCCTGAAAACCCGAACGAGATACCCCTGACAACCAGGAAAAATTGGAGTCTCCGGGTAACTGGGGTCACGAAGCAACGAGATGTCTAGGTAAACAAATGGAAACAAAGCAGCACAGCGCCCTCAATGAAACGATTGATTCAAAAAACCCTTCATGACATGAAATGCCCTAATCTATGCAGCTGATGGTGTACAACACTTCGTATGGATACTGCAAGCTCTTCTCCATCAGTAGTGCCACGTGGACTCGCCGCAAAGACTACGAAAAGCCTATAGCCATAAACCCTAACCCTATAAACCCGAGTTGAGTAGACAGCTTCATGCCCAAGTATCGAAACCTGTTCCCAGCTGGAGCGTGCTGAAGCTGTCGCAGGTGTCTGGAGCCGGCGAGGCACCAGCTGCGCTTGTGGCATGGCCGAGGTCTGCCAGAAGAGTGGCTACAGTGGCTGCCAGCATCCAAGATGCCATCCCTGTCCTTTGGGAAAAGGCGGCCTCTGAAAAGTTGGGATTCAGTAAGGCGCTGGGAGCCTCTTGGAGCCCGGGCTGCGCGGTGAAGGTATAACGTCTATCAGATTAGTAGCTTGGTGTGGACGCCTACAAAAAGACGGACACAGGTGCGTTGGGTGTTAACAGTGTGAGCGAGTCTGGTAGGAACGTCGCACTCGTAGATACGCATGCTCACCACGTCCAGTGTGTTGCTCGTTAGTGATAACATAGAGTTCTGCTAGCGAATGAGCCGATGTGTCTCAAGACTTTTCGGCTCAGTTGAAGTTTGGTATCAGGGACATTGCCATAATGGCTCTCTCCGTGGTTGCCCTCGCAGGCCACTGTTTGGTGGCCGCGACTCTCGTTGAGAGCTGGTTACCATGGTGGCCGTCCTCGGGAAACCTCACAGAGTCGAGTGCGTCGCCTTCGGACGATCCGTCCACGGGCGAACCGCCCAATGGGCACTCTTTCTCCGGAACTATGTCAGTTTGGTGGAGTGAATGGAATTTCAAGGTTCTCTTCGGATTTCTCGAGCGCGCCCATGTTCTCCACTCCCGACCAGCTGGGAACGTTGGGAACAGACGGTGGTTGGGCCCTTTACTTCCTGGACAAAGCTGGTGTGCTCTGTTTCGGGCGGTTCTGGCCGGTGGCAGGGTGGACGACCCTGGTGATCCTCCTGACCTTGCTGGTCACCGCCTTAGCCTGGTCTCTCCGAACCTGCGAGCGGTGCCTCTGCTGCGGCTTTTGCTGCTGCAAACGAAGCCACGGACCTCGAGGAGCAGGAGTGGATCCAGCTCTTCGGCATCTTCCGGAAACCCCAGCACCGCAAGCTTATGCTACCGTTTCGTTGGTTGGTCCGGGTGGTTCCGCCCCTGTTGACACCGAGTACTACCAGAGACAAGTTCGGGGCAGGGGAGCAGGACGTAGACCTCACGATCTAGTCCTCCGTTTCGAGCAAGGTGCGGTCCGGCTTCAACCTGATAGGTCGCAGAGAACTCGGGTGGACCGGCATGGCCTGTGGATCAAGCCGGGCAGAATCCTGGGTGTTACCGCCCGGATGGGGAGTTCCACTGCAAGGCGTACGCTGCCATCGATGCCGATGCAGTCATCGATCTGGGAGCATATGGGCGCCTTAACAGTTGGAGAGTCCTGGTCCTCTGCTGGCGTGGTCTTCGAGCACTACGGCGGGGTCTTGGGCGATGTTGGCGCTGCTGTTCATGCCGAAGGTCTACTGAGGCGCCCCGCCAGATTCAGGATCGAGGGGTCACCCGGACCTTGGACCCCGACTCCGAATCAGAAGCCGAGGTCGTGTCCGATCCCTGCGAAGCAGTTCTGGTCGGTTTGGAGCTCCAAGGTAAGCCTCGGGCTTTAGCTCCAGAAGGTTGTGAGGATAAAGCTGCAAGCGAGCCCACTCGGTTACTTGTTGAAGATCTCCAGTTGTCCGATCTGGGTG